GTCGAAAGATGCCAATCAGAAAGATGGACCTGTACATATAAGCTACCTAACTTAATGGACTTAGCTGGTTCTGAGAGAGTTTCTCTGACGAAAGCTGCTGGTGAGCGTCTTAAAGAGGGGGCTAACATAAACAAATCTTTGTCAGTATTAGGAAATGTGATAAGGCAACTAAGCGAGGGGAAGGAGTTTATCAGTTATCGCGATTCGAAATTGACTAGACTGCTCTCACAGGCTCTTGGCGGTAATGCCAAATTATTGATTATCGGGAATGTACTTTAGCTGCAGAGGAGGAGACTAGATCTACACCAGAATTCGCCCAAAGCACTAAAACTGTCAAAAAATAAAACGAAAGTAAACATCTTGTCAGCTACAGAAGAGACACTTCAAGGATATCAGAACTTGACTCGCGATCTCGAAACTCGGCTCAAAAAGCAGGCAATTAAGCTAAAAGAGATGGATAAAAGCAAACAAGAGTATCTGCTCGAGATAGAAAGACTAAAAACGGAGGTATCTATTGTCGGGCGCTGTCAAATGGGAGCCTCGGCATCAACACCGAAAAAAACATTAAGACGTCATAATCTTGGACACTATGGCAACGTATCACCTAAAAAAGCATCCCTATGGTATATGCCATTGAAAATTATCCACCCAAAGAAGAATCATCCGTGACGTGAAATGAGGCCTATTCAAGAAGAGACATATGAGGAGGCACTAGCCGAAGCAGAATCTGTGATAGCTGAAGACGTGCAAGTGTACTTAAAAGACAACTCAAAGAACTGGAAGAATCTTTCAATGAGCTTAGAGAATTCACTAAACTAGATAATCAGCTGGAGATTTTGGACCTGAAGAAACAGCTCACAGAAGCCAATTCTAAATTCGATCGTTACAGTCAGGAACTCCGCCAAGTAACGGATGCGTACAACGAAGAAATAGAAAGAGTTCAAAAAAATTCTCAAAAAGCGCAAGAATTTCATCGACTTGCAATACAGACTCGATTTTCTGGAAAAAAATATAAAAAGACTAAAAACATACGAGTCAGAAATAGAGATGCTGCGTACTCAACTGAAGAACCTAGGAAGATCAGAGAGCCCTAAACCATCTCTTGAAGCTCAAAATATTGAGTCAAAAAAGAAGGTTGCAGACTTAGAAGCTATGCTTGACGCTGAGTACGAAGATATGCAACATTCTTTAAGTGCTGCTGCACAAACTGATGTAACGATGTCACACATTGCTGAACTGCAAGATGAAATTGGCTTCCTAAAAGAACTTGAATCTAAACTGAGAAATGACGTAAAGAGTCTGATGGACGAGAGTAACCAACGTGAGGTCAACCACTCATTTAAAATCTCAGATATACGATGCCATAATGATTCTACTATAAAAGAGCTTCAGGATCAAATGGCTGAACTGGAATGCCAAAACGAAATCTGGATTATGAAAAAGGACGACGAAATCAGAAAATTGCAACAACTAATTACAAACCCGAAGCAGGCTGGCACTTAACCAGAACCACCTGTGCAGGAAGACGTTGCATTTTATAGGGAGCAAGTTGAGTTCTCCCAGAACATGTACAAAAATGAGATAATAGGTGGAGAGTTACGTATAAACCATAGAGAAAATCTTCAGGCAGTTAAACTAGAAATATGTCTACCCTTGTTAGTGTTTACGATTATTGCAGGGTTTGGACAAAGTTTAGGGCTGATCCCAGTGCTCACAGTGTACAATTTTCAGCTAATAAATCTTGAATTCTGAGGTAACAAAATCAACTAGAACTCTGAAAAAGTGATTTATCAGAAATCATGCCCTTACTTCCATGATAAGAGGGATTCGTAAAAATTATAAGCAGGTTGTGGCTTATTATCTAGTAAAAGATACAAGAATCCCAGATCTGAAAACGATTATTGTTCATGTGATCACAAACTAGCAGCGACTTGGTTTGTGCGTTGTTGGCACTATTTCTAATCAGGGCGCAACGATCAAAAACGCACTTGAGACGATTTGCTCGGAGAATACTCACGGATCAAGTCCATTCCATTTTATAGTCAATGCTCAGAGTATTTCTACAATTTGTGATGAACCACATTTATTCAAAAATGGATGAAATGCTCTTATTGACATTAATATGAAAGTGAAGAAGCTGCACAGATTGAACATGTCTAGAAATCATATAATGTTGATCAGCAAACAAGACCATACAAAGAGCTATGTAAATTGAAACCCAGCCACTTTGATTTTATAGATTCGTTCAAGAATATAGAAATTAATCCTTTAATGATATCGTCGGATGATTCGAGCTTTCTCAGTTATGTGGTGGGGGTCCCGTGACTTCTCATACGGTATGAGCACGTATACCTCAAACCACAGTTTAATTTAAACATCACAATTGTTGGTTTGTTGACTTTGCGGTCAAATTTGATCCGAGGATGTCAGTTGCGTGTACGATTTGAACTTCCTTCACAATGGATTTTTTCGTTGTTGACGGATGAACAATACACTATAGACTACGCCGAGGACGACGCTGCTATCGATCAACCTGAACAACTTCCTATGGGCGACCTCGCTATGCCTATGGAAAAAACATGTACAATTGGTCAAAACGAGCGCCTGCAACTGGTCGATTATTACGCATTTACCTGAACTAAAGTCCGTGGCAACCAATTTGGAAAATAATAACCCTGTGACTCGAGAAATGCCGATAAATTTCTCCAAATACGTGAAATTTTCGAGACACTCATAGAGAACTGTCGAAATTGTTATATTTCGGGTGAGTCCCCTACAAAATACGAGATGCTCGTGGGCCGATGTCCTTCCTGTGCCTACAAGAAAACTAAACCGAATAAGTATGGACTGATGATGCAAAGACTCACCACTACCTGCTCAATGCTTTCGTCTATACGAACAGAAATATCACAGCAGATGACTGGTTCACGTCAGTAGAATTACATGTAGAATTGCGCATCAACCAACTGACCTATGTCGGCAGGAAGCGTAAAAATAAGTAACAAGTACCCCAACATGTAGTTCCAAATAAGAAGGAAACACAGCCAGGTACTTCTAAGTTTATGTTGTACAGCCTTAGAGTAGTATCTTCCAAAACCAAATACACATGTTCTCGTATAGCAATCTATGCAGCATGATAACAAAATAGTAGAGGAATCAAAGAAACCTGATAAGATCCTATATTATTTTTATAACACTATGAAGGCGGGGGGTAATGCATTAGATCGGAAGTGTGTAAATTACAATACTGGTTAGAGAACGAGAAGATGGCCTTGTGCTATTTGGTATCCAACCAGCTTCTGTAAATTCCTTTTTTTTTCAGTCTGGGACTGAAAGTTCCATTAGGCGACGAAATTTTATTGTTCCCCTGAGGCAAACTCTAATTTAACTTCGTATGAGAGGACGTTTATCAGATCCAAGACTTCCTAGGGAGCTTCGTTCAGCCATGCAAAGAATCCTAAATTACCAACGACGAATAAAGTAAGCCGTCTACTTCTCAGCCCAGAGTTCTCGATCCTGATGCAGTTGTTAAAGAAAAAAAACGACGTAGGTGTTACATGACAATACACAATGAAAAAAATGTTCTACAATCTGTAATAAGTATGTAAAGTCACAGCGCACTTACATTGTTTCGTGAAAAGTGTGATAAATGTTAATTATTGTATGTTTCCTTATACGAGAAAGTATTTGTTTTTGTTGTAGAATATCAACACCAAATATGTTGTTAAATGGCCCATTTTGTTAGTTTTTTTATGTTCATATTACAGTTCAAGTTTCGAGGATTTATTTATTGCATTACTCATCTTCAATGGGGTATTTTCGTTTTTAGACAATAAACAGTTTTCATGTAAGAGTGTCTTATGCGTACAAACCTGTTGTACACATGGCTAAAAACAGTAATGGCATTTCAGATGTTGATAGTAAGATCCGGTGGATAACCTGTTTTGCGAGATTAGACGTGGGATTTCCAACACGAACACCATCTGTTTATTTGAAGCATTAAAAACTGTAATAATCAACAATTTCAGTTTTCCATTGACAATAATGAAGAATTATGAAGGCGATTCATGTAAGGCACTAGGTAACTTCGCGTTGCTTTTAGAAGAGTATTGTCTGAATAGACAACAGTTACCTTGTGATTCTTCACCGAGCTGCATTTTTCAAGTTGAAAAATCGGGTGCTGAAAGTGATGGATCTATAGATTTGTGAGAATTTGCTGCTGCTTCAACTTCTTTTTGTAATAACAATAACAGTCTATATGAAATTTAACAATTCTGTTTCTTCTTTGATTTTGAGTCACCCTGTAAATGTAGCTCTACTAAACTATCGGACCGCATTCATAGCCTACAAGAGAAAAAAATCTTCTATACTGGAAAGGAGGAAAAAAAGAATGTATCAACCTGATACATCTGCCCCTCTTTATAACCCGTGAAATAGCCCTAGTTCTAATTAAATTTCAGTTCAAGCTTCCAAAATGACTTCCAACAATATTAAAGTAGCCACAAAGATCAGACCAATGATCCACCGCGAAGTAGCCGATGGTCTAGAGCGTCTTTGGAACGTAAGAGTAAACTGCATATGGGAAGCCGATGAAAGTAGTCGCCATGGAGAGGTTTATATATTCGACCATGTATTTAATCAGGAATGTACAAATTCAGATGTATATGGATCTGTAGTAAAACCTTTAGTCGATTCCTTCATGGAAGGTTTCAATGCCACAATATTTGCATATGGCCAAACATCTTCTGGCAAAACACACACCATTTTGGGCAATAAAACAGATCCTGGGCTTTTCCAATTAGTATCCAATCAGTTATTCCAGCATGTGGCAGACCAGGTTGATAAGAGGTACTTGATTAGATGCAGTTATATTGAAATCTACAATGAAAAGATCAATGACCTCCTGGATAAGAGCAATCAGGGTTTAACTATGAGAAGATATCAAAGGAAATGTGCTGCTTGATGCAAGGGAAGCTGTCGTAGACAATGTTGATAAAGTTATGGAGAACATGATGCAGGGCAATAAGATCAGACGAGTTGCAGCTACTCGCATGAATGAGAGGTCATCTCGATCACACACGATTTTCCGGATTATTCTGGAGTCGAAAGATGCCAATCAGAAAGATGGACCTGTACATATAAGCTACCTTAACTTAATGGACTTAGCTGGTTCTGAGAGAGTTTCTCTGACGAAAGCTGCTGGTGAGCGTCTTAAAGAGGGGGCTAACATAAACAAATCTTTGTCAGTATTAGGAAATGTGATAAGGCAACTAAGCGAGGGGAAGGAGTTTATCAGTTATCGCGATTCGAAATTGACTAGACTGCTCTCACAGGCTCTTGGCGGTAATGCCAAATCATTGATTATCGGGAATGTTACTTTAGCTGCAGAGGAGGAGACTAGATCTACACCAGAATTCGCCCAAAGCACTAAAACTGTCAAAAATAAAACGAAAGTAAACATCTTGTCAGCTACAGAAGAGACACTTCAAGGATATCAGAACTTGACTCGCGATCTCGAAACTCGGCTCAAAAAGCAGGCAATTAAGCTAAAAGAGATGGATAAAAGCAAACAAGAGTATCTGCTCGAGATAGAAAGACTAAAAACGGAAGTATCTATTGTCGGGCGCTTTCAAATGGGAGCCTCGGCATCAACACCGAAAAAAACATTAAGACGTCATACTTTTGGACACTATGGCAACGTATCACCTAAAAAAGCATCCCTAGGGTATATGCCATTGAAAAATTATCCACCCAAAGAAGAATCATCCGGACGTGAAATGAGGCCTATTCAAGAAGAGACATATGAGGAGGCACTAGCCGAAGCAGAATCTGTGATAGCTGAAGACGTGCAAGTGTACTTAAAAGACAACGCAAAGAACTGGAAGAATCTTTCAATGAGCTTAGAGAATTCACTAAACTAGATAATCAGCTGGAGATTTTGGACCTGAAGAAACAGCTCACAGAAGCCAATTCTAAAATCGATCGTTACAGTCAGGAACTCCGCCAAGTAACGGATGCGTACAACGAAGAAATAGAAAGAGTTCAAAAAAATTCTCAAAAAGCGCAAGAATTTCATCGACTTGCAATACAGACTCGATTTTCTGGAAAAAAATAATAAAAAGACTAAAAACATACGAGTCAGAAATAGAGATGCTGCGTACTCAACTGAAGAACCTAGGAAGATCAGAGAGCCCTAAACCATCTCTTGAAGCTCAAAATATTGAGTCAAAAAAGAAGGTTGCAGACTTAGAAGCTATGCTTGACGCTGAGTACGAAGATATGCAAGATTCTTTAAGTGCTGCTACACAAACTGATGTAACGATGTCACACATTGCTGAACTGCAAGATGAAATTGGCTTCCTAAAAGAACTTGAATCTAAACTGAGAAATGACGTAAAGAGTCTGATGGACGAGAGTAACCAACGTGAGGTCAACCACTCATTTAAAATCTCAGATATACGATGCCATAATGATTCTACTATAAAAGAGCTTCAGGATCAAATGGCTGAACTGGAATGCCAAAACGAAATCTGGATTATGAAAAGTGCCCCTCTTTATAACCCGTGAAATAGCCCTAGTTCTAATTAAATTTCAGTTCAAGCTTCCAAAATGACTTCCGACAATATTAAAGTAGCCACAAAGATCAGACCAATGATCCACCGCGAAGTAGCCGATGGTCTAGAGCGTCTTTGGAACGTAAGAGTAAACTGCATATGGGAAGCCGATGAAAGTAGTCGCCATGGAGAGGTTTATATATTCGACCATGTATTTAAGCAGGAATGTACAAATTCAGATGTATATGGATCTGTAGTAAAACCTTTAGTCGATTCCTTCATGGAAGGTTTCAATGCCACAATATTTGCATATGGCCAAACATCTTCTGGCAAAACACACACCATTTTGGGCAATAAAACAGATCCTGGGCTTTTCCAATTAGTATCCAATCAGTTATTCCAGCATGTGGCAGACCAGGTTGATAAGAGGTACTTGATTAGATGCAGTTATATTGAAATCTACAATGAAAAGATCAATGACCTCCTGGATAAGAGCAATCAGGGTTTAACTATAAGGAAGATATCAAAGGAAATGTGCTGCTTGATGCAAGGGAAGCTGTCGTAGACAATGTTGATAAAGTTATGGAGAACATGATGCAGGGCAATAAGATCAGACGAGTTGCAGCTACTCGCATGAATGAGAGGTCATCTCGATCACACACGATTTTCCGGATTATTCTGGAGTCGAAAGATGCCAATCAGAAAGATGGACCTGTACATATAAGCTACCTTAACTTAATGGACTTAGCTGGTTCTGAGAGAGTTTCTCTGACGAAAGCTGCTGGTGAGCGTCTTAAAGAGGGGGCTAACATAAACAAATCTTTGTCAGTATTAGGAAATGTGATAAGGCAACTAAGCGAGGGGAAGGAGTTTATCAGTTATCGCGATTCGAAATTGACTAGACTGCTCTCACAGGCTCTTGGCGGTAATGCCAAATCATTGATTATCGGGAATGTTACTTTAGCTGCAGAGGAGGAGACTAGATCTACACCAGAATTCGCCCAAAGCACTAAAACTGTCAAAAATAAAACGAAAGTAAACATCTTGTCAGCTACAGAAGAGACACTTCAAGGATATCAGAACTTGACTCGCGATCTCGAAACTCGGCTCAAAAAGCAGGCAATTAAGCTAAAAGAGATGGATAAAAGCAAACAAGAGTATCTGCTCGAGATAGAAAGACTAAAAACGGAAGTATCTATTGTCGGGCGCTTTCAAATGGGAGCCTCGGCATCAACACCGAAAAAAACATTAAGACGTCATACTTTTGGACACTATGGCAACGTATCACCTAAAAAAGCATCCCTAGGGTATATGCCATTGAAAAATTATCCACCCAAAGAAGAATCATCCGGACGTGA